CGCTTACTGAATCATTGGACTGAAAACTTTCCCGGAGTTTAGCAGCTTAAAATGATCTGATCGCAAACAGAGAAGCAAAATTGGGTTAAAGGGTTAGAATAGAAATTGTGCTTCAGTAATTTTGCGTTAATTGAGTTCAATTATTTTAACGCGTTAAGGATTGTAAAATGAATCGCATGCGTTAACGCGTTAACGTTGACAGTCCTAATATATATATATATATATTCACACTTACAGTATTTCACAAGCACACATACACACACACTCTCTCTGTTTTATAGGAACGTGTAGCAGAGAACAGCATTTTCACATATAGCTATGGTTCCCGTTTGATTTATTGAGCACCTTCAGCCTTGAAAACTGAAATGTTGTCAATCTAAGGCAGCATTTATGCTGTCAACCACTTCTAATTGTTACTTTTTTATTTATTTAATAATTTTCTTCTTCCACAGATATCTGGCACAGATTCGATACCTTTGGCATACAAGTAAGCAAAAACACTTATGAGATCCAATTTTTTGGCATCCAATTTGGATTACTTTCAATTGTGGTTCTAAATCTGTTATGCATTTCATATCTGGTCATCTGAAGATTAGTTAAACAGTCATCCGTCTGTCTACTTAATTTGGGATTTCTGGCAAGAAGTGATTAATATTAAATGTATTTATTTAGATGTTTACCAAATAAATTGGTAGTCAATTTCACAAATACAAAAAAATAGCAATTAACACATTGAATTAATCCAGAAATTTTGCACAAAATTTTTTTATTGTATTATTATTAGTTTTTTTGTAAAACATACTAAAATGATCTTTGTTTTTACAACATTTGAATCCTTTCTGTGTGGAAATAGGGGTAATAATATACATTTACATTTATACATTTGGCAGATGCTTTTAACCAAAGGGATTTACATTGCCTTCAAGCTACACATTTTATCAGTTTGAACGTTCCCTAAATGCAGCCTAAATAGTTTTAATCAGTGTTTTTTTTATTATTATTATTTCACACTGCAACTGTCCGTAATTCTCACAGATACACGTGCAAGGTGTAGAAAGTGAAGGGAATACATTTGGAAAGTTTGTGATATATAGACAGATTCCAGCAATGTCTTAAGGGTCCTGATAGCAGCCAGGGAAAGTGGCGTCTGTTGCCATGACTGTTAATGAGGCTTAGAAAGGACTCTGAGCTTGAGAGTGTGTGTATTATACTTTGATTAAAGGACAGAGGTAGTGGAGGAAAAATGCATGTTGAGAGCAAATAATGAATACTTTTTCATAGAGAAGAAAGGCAGAGAGATGTCCTCCATGACAGAACTACCTGCATCTGAGAGTGTGCTTTCACATATGCAAAAGCTGTTTTAGATGCGTGATTGTGTGTCTAGATAGCTGTCTTTAGTTTATTCTTAAAATCTTGTGTCCTATTTCATCTTGTATCTGCAATGCAATGAGCAATGCATATTCATTTCAGTGGCCATATAAAGTTGCAGTATTCACACTTGATGTGCAAGCAGCACAGCATTGTTTAGCAGGATTATAGCAGATTTTGGCAGCAAGTCTATTTTTCTTGCTTGATCTCAAACACTGTGAAGAGCACTAAGACCTATTTGTCAACACAGCCTTTTGCAATATAGGCTTTTGTAAAGCAACGTAAAATAATGGAGTGACCTACTCATCCATTGTTTGAAAAAGACATCTGTTAGACTTAATGTAGTTCCACTTTCGGTTGCACACAAACATGCTTGATTCAGTAACTTTGACTGATTTCAGTCAGTTTATAGCTACACATTAGGGCGTCTTTGGGTTCCTTAATACAGTAAAGCCTGACATTTTAAATAATATAGTCAGGAAAACCCTTTTTTTTAATGGAACTGTATGTTGAACCTTTATGTATATATGCATATGCATTTTTTGTGTCATATTTGGTACATCAGGCTTTTATGTTTGCTATAGTGAGAATATGAAGCTCATACTCAAAAAACAGCTCAATTTTATTCAGAGGCCCAAACTGAGCAAAAATATGCAGTTTGGTGCAAATGTTGATATGTATATGGCCAAAAAGTAAGATCTTTTCTCAAGAATTCATGTCAGTTGTCACAGTATATTTTACAATAATATGTCCTAGTAAGAAGATATTGACAGTAAAGTCTTAGTTTTATGATCGAAGCTCAAAGTGTTTATCGTAGGGGCAAATTATACAGTATAATGCAACACAATACAATGATGATTGAGATATAGACAAATAAATGTTCCTCAACACGTGATGTATTATATTTGATACTCATATTTCAACATGATTTTTCTTGAAAAAACTAAAAACAAAAACCAACAAAATTATTATTCCAGTACTATTCCTTATTCCAGTAAGTGAAATATTATACTACAGTATAAAGAACTATATAAAATAACTATATATAAGTGATATACTAACTATATATAAACTAACAATATAGTAACAAGTTATTCTAATGTTTACATTAATAAATCAGTAAAGGCATTTTTAACATGTTTTGATCATGTCGATAATTTAGAGGCCTTATAAATGTGCATATCAAATAGATTTTATATGGTTAATTGTGTAATTGTAAGTTAGACTTTATGACCAGACGTTGAGTTAAATATTCTGTCATTTACCAAATTTTTTAAAATATTAACAGTTCGTTCCAAATGCCTTAAAGAAAGAAAGAAAGAAAGAAAGAAAAATAGAAAGAAAAAGGAAATAAGAAAAATAAATTAAATCCAGAATGTGTTTTTAAAATTTTTAATATTTTTTTTTCTAACTTAAAAAAAATATTTAAAAGTGAAAATGGATTAGAAGGAATACTTGTTTAAGATCAGAATGGCTAAGATAGTCAAACAGAATATCCAACCATATACATACATAAACCATAGATGTTGGCCCTATGTGGGAATGCAGCTGCTCATTGGCACTGACGAGCACCACTTAAATTTTGTTCAGAAAATGCACCAACATATGTTGTCGGTTTTGCTGTAGTGCAAAACTACAGTTTCATGGTCAGTAAGAAATATTTATGGCTGCAAAATTCCGTCATTGGCAGAAAGTTCATTTTGGACCTTGCTTATGCTCCTCAGACCACCACATCAAAGCAGAGAACACAAAAGGCAGCTTTAGCAAGTTCTTATGTTTCTCTAGCCCTTATTGTTGTGCATTGTCACAACTGTTGAGCACTCTGTGGAAATGTTAAAGTGGGAACTATCATTTTCACCCATCAGGCTCCAGAGACTTGCTTGTGCTCTTTTGGGAATAGAGAATCTGACAGTGGCGGCGACGCGGTCTGATGTTGTATTTAAATGACTGTGTTGACGCACATCAGCATATGGTTTTAAAGCCGTTTCAGTGGCTCATACGGCTGCTGCAGGCACATCGTAGAGATTGTGAGTATGAATACAGGTGACAGATCAAATGGAGACACTTGTTTTTTAAGTTTATCTCTACATCAACCTCCGCGTGTAGGCAGCAACTGTCGAGACAGCCAGCCTCACGATGGGACACACACACACACACATGCATAAATGAATGCTGTAATCCCTTGTGTATATTTGTACAAAGTCAAGTAATATCTGTCCTTGCGCATCAAAAACCTACAAAGCAAACTAGATTAAATCCGTATTTCTGAGAATGGCTTTATAATGAGAATTGTTTTCCAGTATACAGACCAACTGAGAAAATATAAGCTAGATAGAGTTTTTTTTATTTTTTATTAAAATATTTATTTTTGTATTTTTTTTAATTATTTTGTTTTATTTTTTATATACAACTTTTTTGACCTGTTTGTGAAAGAATAAAACAGATCTAAAGCCATGTGTAAATCAGCAAAAAATAAATGCAAAAAGTTCAACTATGCCTTCAACATTTATTTTTACTGCTTTTCAGATGCCTTTGTATCTGTTTTATTGTTTTACCCTTGACCTAAACTACGATCTTAAAGTATTCAATTATTTTTATTTATGAAATACAATTTTGTACATTTTATTTCTTGTTTTTAACATTTCAAAATTTGTAATATAAAAAAACATTACAGTTTAACTTTCTTTCTTTTAACAATGGTTATTTAAACAATGATGAAATAATCATAAACCATGTCAATAATAAATGATTTTACACAAATTATGATGGTCCCTTAATTCTGGCATCATTTCTACTACAACCAATAATTTTGCTCCCATATTTTTTTTCCTTCTAAAGTCTGTGTACTTGAAGACAACAGTCATTTAATGAGCATGTTATAAATTATGCAAATAAACCACAATATACCACAATAAATAGTGGTTTTGATATACTGAGCTTCAAAGTTTTTGCATTCAATATACTTCATAGATGTAACCTTTTTGTTTTCTAAATAAAAAAAGTCTCAAAATGTACACAAATAGACAAATGAAATACAGTGTTTTATTAAAAAAAGAAAAACTGCCAAAATGAGCAAAAACTGTCCTTGAACCATAGTTCTTATTGTATTTCTTGCTTTCTATCGTTTTATCTTATCTTTTTTGTTGTTATGTAATTTATCAATTGTTAATTCAGTGTGCACTCATCAGTTACTGTGCCTGGAACTTTGACCCAATATCCACATGCCAGCTTAACTGACAGACTTGTCTTACTTTGACTGAAACTGTACTGAAGTTTAAGCTGCCATGAGAAATGTATTGACTGTGCAGAAGAACGTCTGTGTGTTGGGCATCGGGCATCCACTGGTGTCAAGGATGAAGTCTTAGATGAAGTGTTTGACCAATATGCCCGATCTTATTGTGCAGAAAGCAAGGTGGATGTTACTATATCCATATATATATATAAATATGATAACCGTTATTCTCTAAATGTTTTCTAAATAACCCATCAGTACGGATGCAGCATTACACCAAAGTTTTCTGTTGATTTTTACACTGAATATTTTATTTATTTTGTAATAGTTCTGCACAGTTAACAGTGATATATTGTTTTTTTAGACTTTAAAATAACACCATTTCTCTGTTTCTCTGCAGGTGGATTGGCAGTAGGCAGTAACTGAAGATGAGGAGGCGCTGGTGGCGATCGGACTGTCTGGAGTTGGCGATTGGCTTGTTTGTTATCATCACCCAAATCTCGGCTCAAAACACTGAGGGTGAGACTCAAAGTTCTGTCCATCATTCTTTCCCTGTCACTAACATGAGAGATTTTATTTACCACTTTTGCAAAATAAACCTTGCACCTTTTCTCCAGAACCATAGCTTTCGATTTCATTCCTGGAGTTGGTGAAATGAGATGCTACAGCTCAGCGTTTACGCTCTGGGCGAAGTCAGAGAGATCATTGTATCTCTATCTCTGTGTGGCAGCGTCCCGCAAATCGGTCTCTGCATCTTCTCTGCACACCTTCATTACTGAAGCAGCCAGATACAGCTCTCCAAACTGAGCGTCTGATGATGTATGAATTATACCGTCACTTCTGCCAAAGACAAACTGACAACCATAACAAAAATCTCAAAATGTTGCTGGAAATACCGCGAGGCTGAGTGCAAATCGAGGCAAATAAATTGTGGCTATTGTCAGACTGTTCAGATTAGCGGTTGAGGATAAAATATTGGTGGGCGTCTATAGTTGACATTTTCAGATATCCTTGTCTGTTCATGCAGCGTTTATTGTTATGGATTTTTGTATGATTTGAAGAGTGCAGTGAGGATGTTATGTGCAAGGCTGGGTGGTAAAATTGTGTATAATGTGCAGCGGTTGAAATTCTGCCATACTCATGGCCGCAGAATATCCATGATGCAATTTCTTACAACAGTCTGAAAACTGTCGCAGATGGTTGCTTCCAGTGTAGACGGCTACATTAATTATAATGGGAGTTGTTTAGATTTGGCGTGTTGTCTAGTGTGTTTGGTGTAGACTAGACATAGTATAACTGAGTGTCGTTTGTGGTTGTCAAGCATGAATTGGCTATTCAAGGGCTGGAGAATTATATTTGTGATTCATCCTATTCAAAAACTCAAGACTTAATCCAAACCTAACAATCCGAGAATGCTCTGTAATGAACTTGAAAAAAAAATCTAAAAGGAACTACCCCCCCCCCCAAAAAAAAGAATGGCAAAAAGGAACAAAATGAAATGAATTCAATCCGATGAAAAATCTTTTACTCTATTCATGTAAGCTATGTGTCAGGCCATCCAAGATATAGATGAGTTTGCTTCTTCATCAAAACAGATTTGGAGAAATTTAGCATTACATCACTTGCTCACCAATGGATCCTCTGCACTGAATGGGTGCCGTCAGAATGAGAGTCCTAACAGCGGATAAAAAAACTATAATCAATAACAATAATCCACACGACTCCAATCCATCAATTAATGTCTTGTGAAGTGAAAAGTTGCATGTTTGTAAGAAACAAATTGATTATTAAGATGTTTTTTTTAATTATTTCAAACCATTGCTTCCAAGCCATAATATTGCCTTTTTTCCAGTGAAAAAGTTGTCTCACCTAAATCTGGAGAGAAAGATGCACAGATCAAGCACTGTTTACAAGTGAAAACAGTTCTAAACAAATATGTGGGTGGATTTTGATGTGAGAGAACAACAGAGGATGGACTTTTTCCACTCTATTATGGACTAAAATTTTGGCTAGAAGCGACGGTTAAAATGCACTAAAGGTGCAGTAAGTGATTTCTGGGAAACAATGTGGAAAATTTAAATCAATACCCAAACAAATAATTTTGTGATGTTGGGGGAAGAGAGCGAGATTTGTAGAAAGACAGATTGCTGAGACATACAGTATGAGTAAACAGTTAAAACTTTCTAGCACTGGAGAGACCTAGAGAGCGGGAAGGCCTGTAAATAGGTCTTTGTTTCTGCTCAATACATGAATAACATTGGTTTTGCTTTGTTTAACAGAACCAGGATATGCTGTTGTTGTAATATTGGCTATAGTAACAAGTAACACTGGCTTTTAGTTGTTGTTTGCGTTGCATATCGTGTTCATGAATTTGGGGGTAGAGCAGTAAATGGAGGGGTGTGTTTCTTTTGGGTAGTGATGTGTTTGTTTGAATTTCAACATCAACAGTTTTTGTCAATCGCTTACTGCAGTTTTAATAATGGAGTTGTTTCTTACAAACCCATAGCTTTTTACTTCATAAGACTAATTAGTTCACTAATTAATGGAGTCAAGTTGTGAATTATTGTAATGTTTTTATCAGCTGTTTGGACTCATTCTGACGGCACCCATTCACTGCAGATAATCCATTGGTGAGCAGGTGATGTAATGCTAAATTTCTTCAAATCGGCTCAGATGAAGAAACAAACTCTTGGATGGCCTGAGTACATTTTAAGCAAATTTTCTTTTTTGGGTTCCTTATTCCTTCAAAGCCCTTACACATGATTTGTTACTTTGCTTCACTGCAAACGTCGTGTGCCATTTTCACCTCCTCCAAAATGCTGGAGTTCCACAAAAGGCCATTTTTTTCTGGGAAGCAACAAAGTGGGACGTGTGCACAAAAAAGACCTGCCAATGGCTTTGATGCATCAAAGAAAGGAAAAAAGGAGCTGTCATTTTTTTACTCATTTATTACTATTATTATTTTTTTATTAAAGCTATGCAACATACTAATGTTGAAAATGACATGTTACAGACGAGGCGAGCCTAATAAAGGTCAAATGACAGCAAACTAAAGATGTGAAAGTATTAGAATAAAACAAATAAGGTAAATATAGATGAATAAAAGGAAATTATGAGGCATTCAAGATCTCTTCATAAAGTTTGAAGCTTTTAACATTTTTTCCCCCCCATTTTAGCTCTAAAAAACCGCATTAGTCAGGCAAAATCATGTGTGACAGCCACATACTTATGGCCAGATTTGGAAATAGTCATTGTAAAGAATGACAGGTCAGCAGCAAACAGGGTCAAAGCTGAAATAGTTTAGAAATAGCTTGACTGGCGGACAGCCAGTTTTGGAGGTAACTCTGCAGCTGTCATAAATTCATAGTGTCACACAATGAGAAAAACTTGATGCAAGTTATGTGAAAAGGCCTTTAGAGTATTCATTAATCATGCTAACATCTGACTATTGCAACTAGAGCTTAGAGCTTGTAGAGCTTGTATTTGCCATTTTGTTTTAACTTCACATGGGGATGCTACTGACGTAAATGCATCTTTAGTAGCAGTGCTGCACAACACATTACATAACTGTTTTACACACACAGCCTTTAACAAAATGAGCTGAGGCAATAATCAAACACATTTTAAGATGTCAAAAATGTATGAAACATTTTTGGGAAATATGATTCATTTTAGGGAGTTTATTTGTTTAAATGATTCATTTAATGAACTGGTTCAAATAAATGATTCACCAATTCTTTTAAATCATCACATAACCTCAATTTATGTCAAATTGTTTTTGTAGCAAAATAAAAAAAAATAATTACTTGATAGATTTTATTTTTGCAAGCTACGGCTTCAAAGTAGACACTTCTTAAAAGGTAGGTGACTTCATAGTGATTGATAGTGCACTAGAGATTGGAACATATCCAATTTCTTTGGCTCCTGTCCATGTCGGCTGTCTTTCTGCATGCCTATATTTCTTTCTTGCTGTTTGCCTGTACTTTGAACACGTCTCAGAGTATGTATGTACCATTTAAAAGTGGATAGAGAAATCTGGGTCTCCATCTCAAAAGACGAGCTGGATATCAACTCCACCTATTTCATCCTTTCACTGTAATTAAACTCCGCTGGATATCTGCTGCTAGGTGAGCCATTAAAGTCAGCCGACAGGTGCACTTTGAGAGTGGAGTCAGTCTTCTCTGTCTAATTGAGAGGGAGGAGGAAACGCTTCTCAAGTCTCATGCCATCAGAATGAAATAGCGGGCTGTTATTTAAAAAATACACTAGACATAATTACACAGAGCTAGCATGTATTCAATGCTAGTGAGCTACAAGCTGTATATGGCCTGCTAACACTGTATCTACACCTGATGCGTATGGTGTGTTGCATTGTGACTATGGATATGTCCAATACTTTAGTACTGCATGGCTACTCCACCTAGTTTATTTTTCCCAATCGTCAGGAAAAAAAAGTACTATTTATTTAGATTCTGACAGCTATATCAAAGCCAGTTTGAATGATTGTGGCCAGCTAAAAAATATCATTTATTTTTAACCATTTGCATTCACAGTGATCCATACTAAGTTTTTATGCCAGTGTATATCTCATGATTTGTTGTTGATGTTGAAGGTCATGAATTTCATGGCTTTTGGTGGTAGTGCTTTAAAGAGAATGAAATATATAGTTCAGTCATGAAACTCTAGATGGCGCATTCTGACGGGGTGTTAACGTAACTGATGATATTCAGAGAGTTAAAGGACTTGGCACAAGCTGATTGGTTCATGCTGCATATGCAGCCAATGAGCTTACTGCCTTGCATTTATATGGCTGGCTAGCATTCACTTGAGATTCCTGCAGCGTGCTTTCAGAGTTCTCTGAAACCCTCCACCTTCCCCAGCTCCACCTGTATAGATCTGCTACGGGGATATTTTACAGTATATGCTATTTTTGCAGCAGCAGTATGTCTTAAATACTCACGGCACCGTATTGCCGTATGCATTGGCAGTAGCAAGTTCCTGTACTTGCTTGCAGCAGCAGCAATAATCTACAACTACAGCAATAACCAACAGCAGCAGCAATTCAGCAGCAGCGCAGCAGATCTGTTCTGCCAAGACCAAATACATTAACACTGTCATATCCATCACCATGCTATAATCTTCAGAGAGTTGTCATGATTGAACTAATAGTTAGGGTTAGAAGTTTTATTAGAAGTTTGTTTTATTATTTATTATTAGATCGAACAACTTAAAAAGGATAAAAATATACATATTAAAATATATAAATATGTATTTATAACACTATCATTGTATTTTTGATTTTTTACATTTATATAAGGTTCAAAAGTTTGAGGTTGGTAAGCTGTTTTAATGTTTTTTAAAAAACAGTCTTATACTCATCAAAGCTGCATTTATTTGAATAAAAATACAGTAAAAACAGTAGAATTATGAAACATTATTACTATTTAAAATAACAGTTTTCTCTTTTAATATATTTTAAAATGTAATGTATTCCCGTGACAGAAAAGCCACATTTTTAT